TATCTCTATCTCTATCTCTATCTCTATCTCTATCTCTATCTCTATCTCTATATCTCCACTCCCTTTCTCTTTCTCTTTCTCATCTTCCTTTGCTCCACTCTGCCCTCTTCTTTCCATCACTCCTAGACTTATCGCTCTATATACCCCACTTTGGCACACTCATTTACAGGGTATGCCTGGCACGAGTGTGCGAAAGGAAAGCTGGCAAACACCGACGACAGGCGACAGCATTTGTACATTTGTATGCCATTTGTGTGTGGGCGTGGCGACTGGCAAAAGGTGGAGGCGGGGCAGAGCGAAACGACCAAAAGATGAAAGCGAAACAAACCACATAAAACGACAAACGAGACAAACTGAGACAAACAACAACAGCAACAACAACAACAACAACTGCAGACAGCGAGCTGGGAGTAAAAAACAAAACAGGGCAACTAGAGTAAAAAACGCCGGGTGGCAACGCTGACAAATGTCAACAATGTTGATTTATTTGCGTTTACATTTATTTATGACAGAATGCAACATTTTTTCCAAATGCAATTTCTGTGTCTCCTCGGCCCGTGTTGATTTTGCTCTCTAGAAATGTTTCTGCATTATGCGAAGACCATTTTCTCTCCCACTCCCGCTCCCACCCACTTTCTATCCCCTTCCCTTCCCCCACACTATCCAACCATCTAGCTCTTTTGCATTTCGCTTAAGTGTTGACATATGGCAACGCTGCATAGAGCTGAAAACTTCATCCTCTGCGCTGCCTCTCGAGAGCACTTGGAAAATATTGCAAAGAATTCCAAAGAGCGACTGAAAAGAAATTGAACTTGTATAAGAGAAGCGAAACTCTTCAAGGAATTTCAACACAAATTATTGTCAACGGGAACTGAAAGTCGGGAATTTATTCTCTAGAAATATTACAAATTGTTTTCATGGACATGGAAACGAAAGACAAAGATCAGGAGTACGATGCTGAGCGAGTAGAGTATGGGAAAGTATAGGAAATATCTAGTATTATTAAGAGTTTTGGGTAGAGTATAAGTGTAGGCATCAGTATAAGGCAGATTATAAGACTAAAGGGTAGAAATGAGTAAAAGAATGAGCATCAAATCCAAGTATAAATGTGAGCATTGGCATGCGCTGGTATATGAAGGGTATAAGAGTAATTATAAGTAGAGTTGTATAAGAGTATAGAATCATCGCATTTCTCAAATTTGTACTTACATTTTCTTTGATTTTCTTTTCGTTTTAGGTATGTGTGCCACGACTTGTAGCTGATATATCGATGCTTGAATTCCCAAGGTACGCTTATCTCACTCTCACTCTTACTCTACCCCCCACTCTTACTCTACCTCTCCCTTTCACTCTACCGCTCACACAGCCACTCAGTCAGTCCCTTTGGCGGGGAGTCGTCTATTGCATTTCTGTGGAAATGGCATGCTTTTCGGAATTACCTTTCAATGCTTTTCGAATCGCATTCGCTCACTCTCCGGCATTTGCCTTCCCCTCGCTGCCGCTCTCGGCGCTTCTCATTCGCTATTAGATTTTTCGTTTATGTAATTTCCAAAATGGATTATGCCGTCGTCCTGAGTCCTTCGTCCCTCTCTGTGTGTGTGTACATGTGTGTGTGCATGTGTGTGCTTGTGCATTGTCCTGCCAGACAAGCTGGGCCACACTTTAGTACATGAAAACATGTTCCATGTTGCATTTTCATCTGTCAACGTGGCAATCCCAGCGCATTTGCCAGAAGCACCGCCCCCGACCGCGCCCCTCTATTACCTGCCATGTCCTCGCTCACGCTGCCCGACCTATTCGGTTCGTTTCAGCTTTACCTAACAAAATTTCGCTCTTTCGATTCCCTTTTGCGGCTCTGTTTGTGACTTTTAAAGCTTTTACACTTTTTCTCAATTGACATGTGTGTGTGTGTGTGTGTGTGTGAGTGTATTATGTGTGTGTGTGCTTGCAACATTTTGGCAAAATGCCATTATAATTATATGTATATTGAATCCATATATGAAATATGTTTGCATGGCTACCCAACAACAGAAATCAGAACCAAAAAAAAACAAAAAATGTAGGAAAAAACAGTGTTAGAAAGTGCTCGGCTAGCTGATACCCGGTAATACTATATGCGTATCAAAAGCTCAAACTCAGAGGAATTTTCGATAGTTTTTAGAATGCATGTCTAGAGTTTTGGAGTTCGAGTCAGGCGAGAAATCTGAGTAAATATTTAGTATAGCTTAGTCCTTATCCATGCACACTCCCAATCTGCCCTGCCTGGCCCGACATTTCCAGGGTATACCAAACGTTACTTTGTGTCTCGGTTGTTTGCAAATAAATCAAGTTGCTACCAGAAAAAAAACCGTATACCCTGTGGAGCAAGCAAAGTGCTCAGGAAAAAAAAAGTTCTGTAACAAAAATTCCAGAAAGAAAAGTAGAAAAAATTTGTAATTTGTGTTTTTTTCCTCGCAAAGTAAATGACCTGTGTGCGGCTTATGTGTCTGAGTTGTAGGCTGCATGCCACACGATGCTCTGAAACGCCTCCTCCCTTTGACATGCTATATGCGCGCCCCTCTCGGCGCTTCTCAACATCTGTTTTCGCTACAAAATGCGTGACTTTCGATTGCAGTTCGAGCCAAGCCCAAGCCCGCAACGTAATGCATATAGCTTTGTCTCTCTCTCTCTCTCTCTCTCTCTCTCTCTCTTTATCTTCCTCTCCCTCTCTCTCCCCCTCTCTCTGTGGCTATGCACTTCTTTGACAAGCACTGCACGCTCGTCTGTCTGTGATTTTGAGGTCGAGTTTGTGGCTGCAACTGAGGCACTCGTAGCGCATCCTTTGACCCCCCACTCCTCCCTCCTGCTAGCCTTGTGAGAGCTGCCTTGTGCGCCATATGAATATCAATTCAGTTTTTGCGCGCTCACTGACCAGCGCTGGGCTCTTGGATTTTTCTGCTCTCAAATCAAATTCCTAATCATATTTTTTTTTGTTTTTTTTGTCTTCTTTGCTCGTTTTGCAAATCAAAAATTCAATTGGCGAATTCATGAGATTGAATTAAATTTGCGTCATAAAAATATGTAATAAAATTATAAGAGAAGCGCCGATGGCATATAATATGTATGTGGAACAAGCGAGAGAGAGAGAGAGAGAAAGAGAGAGAGAGAGAGAGAGCATAGACTAGGTGTGAATGGCAGTGAATGAAGTGAAAGAGATGAGGGAGGGATAGCAGAAGGACAGTCAAAGTGCCTCTTAAACTAATTTAATTCTTAACATTTCCTTAACATAGCTGCGTTAACAGTCTGCTGCTGAACAGCTTCGACTTTAATTGCCTCTAACGATTATCTCAGTTGAATCTCTCATGCCGCACTGTCATCAATTTGCAATGCCCGCTCGCTGGCTGCGGAAAGAGAGTCTATGGGTTGGCAGCTCTGCTCATCTCGGCCGAAATGGCGCTACTTTAGGGTTTCATGAGCGAGCATTTGGCGAGTTTTTACCAGTCGATGCGTTCGTTCCTCTGTATATCCTCAGCACATTTGTCATAACAACGGAGATTATGCTAAGCATTTCCTTTAACACAGCCAATTGCCCAGGCTCCCTCCCCTCTCTCTCTCTCTCTCTCTCTCTCTCTCTCTCTCTCTCTCTCTCTGTCTCTTGTTTTCTCTCCCCCTCTATTGGTCTTCTGCATATATCTGATATCTTAATTTGTCCCTTCCTATCCTATTTTCATCTCTGACATTTTACAATCTCATCTCTCTCTTTCTCTTAGATTGCATGCTGATGACAATTAAAGGCTGTCAACAGTTTGAATATATGGGCGTTCAGCGTAGTTTCTTGAATTCCCTGTACTACAATAAGGCAAATATATTTCTTAATCCGGAAGCCTATGTCAGGGATATTGTGAGACTTCGAATGTTACCGCAATTTCATAATGTCGAACCGCACTGGTCACTCTCCAAGGTATGTTGACAGGCGCTTCAGTAGTGTGGAGCCCCTCAATGATGCCTTCTTCCTTTTGCAGCTCGAAATGTACGAGCTGATTATGTCAATGGGACTGGAACAGGATCGTATGTGGCTGCTGAAGAGCTGCGCCCGCAGCTGCTTGGACGGCAGCTTGCTGTGCAATATGATGAGCTCGACAAAGCTGTCGTTGTCCGTGATAACCAATTGGATTGTGAGGCGCGCCAGGCATATCAAGCAACGTTGCGCGGATCTATGCGAGGGCATCTTTGACTGTGGTGCCTATGCGCTGGAAGAGCGCGAACGCAAAGAGATGCAGCATCTGAACAATCAGCTCCTCAGGCTGTCCGAAGTGCAGCACTTGCTCGTAAAGCTCACCAAGGCTCGTTTGAATCTAGAGCTAGTCGATGATTTGGAATTTACACAGAATACCCTGAAGGTTCTATATGATTATCAGCGCATACTCCACTGGCTTATCGAAAGCGGCATCTTGCCGGAGAGTAGCCAGGAACAGCAGCAGTCGATGCCATCGATACGACGCGACTATGACAAGCGACGAGCTCAACTGAAACGTTCCGCAAAACACAATGCCAAGCTCTACGTAGACGAGCTGATGCACCAATATGGATTCCAGGCTGAACTGAAGAAGCTTAATGAGGATAGACTCTACCCGCCCCAGTCGCTGCAAACCCTGATGCGTTTAATGTTGCTGCAGGACTTCAACTTGGAGCAGAAGCACGAGCTTATGCTATATCTAATTTTAGATTTGGATCAGTTCTACAAGAGCGGTGAGCACGAATTGTACAAGGATTTCGCCGAGTCATTTGGCCTAGCCGAGCCATTTGTGAAGTGTGTGCGCTCCTTTTGGTTTCTGGACAAGGGCGATCATGAGGTAGGCTAACTGGCTGTCCCTTTCTAATTGAAGAGTTCTCACATTAGCTTTCTCGCTTCTTCCCTTAGACGGCACTCGATATTTTGTATAGGGGACGCACTGGACGTGGCGTCTATACCGAATGGCAGACAAAGCATTTGATCGAAACGCTGCTCCATTACAATGCGAATGCGGAGGCATTGCAAGTGGTGAATATGCCGCCCGGATATGTTTCCTCTGAGCTTAAGCTGCAGGTGCTCTTGGCCAACAATAATATACCGGAAGCATTCCATCATGCGCGGTTCTGCATGGACAAGGATGGTCGTCCGTTGCTGGAGCATTTTTTTCAGCATTGCATCGTGGAAGGCAAATTCAATGTCCTGGCCACTCTCTGTTTGCGCGACAATGAGGAGCAGCTCGTCTATCGCCAGCTGCGACAGTGCAAGACCCGCGCCGCCGACTGCATTCAATTGATTCTGCTGCTCAAGCGCTGCAAGTATATCGAAGCGGTTTCCTTTATGGACGAGGTGGCCGCAGAGCGGGAACTGAGCGACGAGACAAGTGGCATCCTGACCGCCTACCGGACAACCATGGCGCCCGTCACCCAATCCATAGCGGGCTCATATTTCCGCGTACGCAACAGGCTGAATGGGAATCACTTTACGAATTTCTCGCCGGAGCCATTCAGCTGTCAGCTGGCTAAGCAGCTTGCCAACGGTCACATGGGCGACATATTCCAGAGCTCCGCTATGAGCGCCCACTGGGCGACGCGCCACCCCAACGATCCAAGTTTCTTTAGATTGGACAGCCGCAATATACCTTTTCTGCGCAGTGCTTCGAAGGCGCTTAAGGAGTTGCCACAGCTGCACCGGTATGTGCGTCCGACACCATACCAATGCGCCGAGAAGCGTCTCTATCCGTGCTCCACTCCCGGAACGTTGGGCCCGCAATCTAAGCGGCGCCGCCTACTGGTCGAAGATGAAACAGTTCCCAATTTTCCCCACTCATCGCATGAGGAATACGATCTGATGTATGAAGATAACGCAATGAATATGGATCTGCATAGTTTGCGCGTGGCCAATGATTTGCTGCATCCGCCCAGCTATCTGTTAACCAAATCCGAAGCTGACGCGGCAACGAGCATAACGCAGGGGCAGCGTCCCACCATACTGAAGAGCCGTTTGCTTCGACGCCAGCCAATGCAGCGTCCAAACTTTAGCTTCCTGCCGCCCATACCGCTGGACAAGACAATGCAGGATGTGGAAATGATGGAGATGGATGAGGAGGAACAGACGGTCTCGGACTTGGATGGAGATGAAATATTTGTGGAAATTGAGCAACAATTGGAGAGCTCCACCAGACCAGAAGCCGAGCCGGAGCAGCAACAACATAACAGCTCGGACACTGAATCCGAGTACATGTCGCCGGTGGCCTCGGCGAATGCTTCATTTGCTTCATTCAGTGGATGCAATCGGGAACAGCAACTGGAATCGAAGCAGCAACCGGAACAGCAACATGAACAGCAACAAGAACCTTCACGATCATTCACAATGGCACCACCAACTGGTCCACAGCCACGCAGCTCATTGAGCAGCGGCTTTGGCAGCTTCGCCACTGTACAAACGGGCAGTACAGCCGGATCGCTGCAGCTGAATGCATTTCAGCCGCCTGTTTGCTCCTCGAAAATGTTCGAGAGCACATCGAGGGTGGTTAGCAGCACGTACCAGGTGAAGATGTCGGAGCGAACGACCATTTGCGGGGACATCGATGAGCCGAGCAGCTTGGCAACGGGTTGGTCCATGCCATCCGCCCTGGGGAAAACAGTCCACATTGGTTCATCGGCTGATAGACCAATGCTGCAAATGCTGGACACGACGCTGGGCATGTCCTCCTATGATATGACAGCAATGGATGCCATGGCCGAGCAGGAGACGGAGAGGGTAGGACAGAGAGAACCGGAGCCGGAGCCAGTGACAGAGCCAGAGCCAGAGGCAAAACCAGAGGCAGATGCAGAACCAGAGGCGGAACCAGAACCAGAACTAGAACCGGAGCTGGAACCAGAACCAGAACTAGAACAGGAGCCGGAACCAGAGGCTGAATCTATTCCATCACGTAAGCAAGCAAGTCCATTGGCCTACATAGATCTAGAAGACGACGAAAATGAAGCCGAAGTTGAAGCTGAAGTCGCAGCCGAAGTCGAAGCCGAAGCCGAAGGCGATGATGTGGAAGTAGATGAGGAAGAGCTGGAAGTGGGCCACGAGGAGTTGGCACCATTGCAACCACATGAATCACAGGTGGACGAAGAGGATGATGCCCGCGACGATGTGGAGCAGCAGGAGCAATGCACATCGTCCAGCTTTGACCAGACAACTATTCCACTCTCCTTCAATCGTGGCTCGCCCAGCTATAGCGTAAGCAGCGAACTCTCCGATTTGTCCTCGCCACGCACGGATGCGCCCGTTTATTCAATTGTGGTGGAGTCCACCAATTCTATTAGTGACTCACGTTCGCCCGCCTCCCATACGCCCAACTCGTTTCTGCCCAGCGACACGAATGTCTCCCAGAACTCCAGTCCGCGTGCTCATGGTGTGGGCGGCGAGGGCGGCTCGAATCGTTCGCTCTATCGTGCAAACAGTTTGGAAACGGTGGATGATCTGGACACCACAAAGGGCTCCTTGGAGGAGGACGACGATGTGGATGAGGAGGATGAGTGTGTCATAGCGCTTGATGGCACCGAGGTGCGCGGCTATGTGGCGCGTGCCGAGCCTGTGGCTGCTTGCAACAGCGCCGAGTTGTTTGCCTTCAAGCAACAGGACGAAACGGAGCAGCAGGCCAACCAAGCGCCATGTCCTTCATTGGTCGCCACGGCTAACAGTGACTCAGTAATGGCCTATACCATCAACTTGGACAGCGTGGACAGCGTAGAAGTGCAGCCGGCAGTGGCAACGGTTACCAGCATTGGCGGCTCCAGCAATGATTCCGTGGCCACAGTTGCTTTCAGCGAGCACAAGGATCAGCAGGACAAACAGGATCAACAGCAAGAACAAGAGCAGGAGCCGGAGTTGCCAATGAATGTGGATGAAGTTGAGGAAAAAGCAGTGGCACCTGCCCAAAGCGCTCTAGATGTAGCTGATTCAATTGCCATCAATCTGGACTCCGACATGGACTCGAATCCCAGCCTGCTGGTGCTTTCCGATAAGGAGGAAATGGATGTGGAAATGAAGGACGAGGGCGAGAAGAATAATAAGCCGCTGGTCGAGACTGTGACTGTGATTGACACTGAGACTGAGACTAAGGAACCGGATCAGCCCTTGGAAATTCAACAGCCCATCCAAGTGGATAGCGCCGAACAGTCCATTCATCTAGATTCCGATAAGGAGGTAGACGCCGAGGAGGAAAATAAGTCCCAGGACATTTCGCGACAGGTACTGCCGCGCACAAGAGGCTCACTCCGCAGCCTGAGTGGCACGCCGCCCTTGCAGCAGTGCAGGATACGCCTTCGCAATGAAAACCATCGCAGAAGTGTATCATCCACTCGCAGTACACCATCGCCCTCTCTACGCTCGCGTTTGCGCAGCGCCAGCAGCTCTGGAACGGTCGCCGAGGACCAGCTACCGGAGAACGATGCGGAAACTTCACGTGGTACAACGGACAGTCCTGACCCAACCAAATATCCAGTAACCAAACGTCGTAGTCTGCGCGGCGGTTCCTTGCCCCCGATTTCTACTGTGCCGGTGTCCACACCTAAGCGACGCCGGAAGCTGTTACCCCGTCCAATGGAGGTGATAGACGAGACTGCCGAAGCCCAGTCGTCAACGACACCGCGCACACGCTCGCGCAGGCAGCTCGGCCAGTCGACGGCCAGCGTTCCGGTCTTAGTAGCAGCTGAGCAGAATGTGGATAGCAAAACATCGCATAACAAGTTGCGGAGCAATAGTGAGCCACCTTCGCCAATAGTTGTTGCGGCTCCAGTCAAAGGCAGACGTCGCGTCAAACCCAGCATAGAAGAGCCTCTGAAGAAGGATGTTGCGCCAAGGAATCTGCGCAGTCGACGCAGTACTACCGAGGCAGACGCGGAACAACCTACGACATCTTCGTCAGCTCGATCCACTGGTAAGTATACGAATTGCCGGACATTTGCACGCCTGGATCAACTAAAACTTTACACTTTATTTACAGTCAGTGATTCCAGTGTGCCCCTCAAGAAACGTGGACGGTCCAAGAAGTAGCCTATACCACCCATACAACAACACCATATATATTTTGCTATAGTTGATAGAAACATTATTTTTGCTTTTCTTTAAATTTGTTTGGCTTGTTCATTGAATTCAAATTGCCAGGAAGCGGCAAAGTTACATATACTGAAATGTTATCAAAGAAAAAGGATGAAAAAAAGGAGAATAACTGTTGAGCGTTTTGTGTTGTCCAATTGTTTGTTCTTGCACAATATATCGATAACATCGTTATAGAACTGCCTGTGACTCTAAAACTCAATGAAGTGAACACAGAAGTGTATTATTAAATTATGAATTTTGAATAGATATATACAATTATATACCGAAGTTGAAAATATCTATGCAATGTTAAATAAAAAATTTATGTTTTAAATACAAATTTTGAAATGCAATGACTGTTGGGGGAGGTGTCATAGCACTGAGCTATTTGGTCGGTTGTGTTTAGTATCGATATATCGATAGGTTTATATACGAAGGAAGTGAGTTAATCGCTTGATATTGTTTCGCTATTTGGTCGGTTGAGTTTAGTATCGATATATCGATAGATGCATGTACGAAGGAAGTGAGTTAATCGCTTGAATTGAGCGCAGTATTTAAATATATTAAATATAAATTTCAGATTCATTTTAACAATATACAAATATATACAACAGTTTAAAACATAAACGGCAACAGGGCGGCAAGTGGGACATCATTAAAGCTAAGCACTTTACGGTGGATGTCGTCTACAGCTACGCACATGCATACGCATATGCATGTGTGTGTGTGTTTAAATTTAACTTAATAGCTAAACCTTATTTTGCCTAACTGTATTTTGTGAAGTGGGGCACTGGGCTTAGACCAGTGTCGACAGCTCATGCAGCGAGATAGTTATATTGCTCATGTCCAGTGTTGGCGGAATTCCCGGACTAACCGATCCGCTAGCCTCGCGTCCCATCAGGCAGCTGCCATTGGCCGCAATGGATATCGGCTTGGGAGTTGGCGGTGTAGCTGTAGCCGGACGCACGAGATACGGTGAGTTGATAATGCCGCCAGTAGTATTATTATTATTATTGTTGTTGTTGGTGCTGAGCAACGGATTGAAGCTGCCATGTGAATGATTCGGAGAGACGGGAGTCACTGAAGTCGGATGCATCATGGAATGATTCTGTTGCCCGTAGACCGGCAACGCAGGTGGACAAGCGCTGCTGTTGAACGGCTGAGCTGACGGCAAGTTCAGCGACATGTTAAGAGGAGGCGTACGGTAGCTGATCGTCTTCTCCTTCTGCCATACAAACACGTTGTGCACCATCGCACCGCCGCAGAAAACGATGCCAACGCCAATCAGAATGCTGGTGATGATCGCCGGCGTCGAGTGAAAATGATTGAAGGTGTACAGTATGATGCCCGTGAGAAAGACAGGTATGGAAATGAAGAATCCGCTCACAGCGCACGTACGGCTTGCACTCGACTTCTCCAAGTACTTGTTGTCGCGCCCATCGAACATGGGCGAACGCAGCAGCTTCACCGCAAAGAGAAATTGTATTGCACAGACCAGCAGACAGCAGAGATTCAGAGAGAGCGACAGGGCGCACAGTGCCAGAGTCACATCGTATACGATAATGAAGTCGTCGCCATTGATGCTGCGTGTCACCGTGTCTTCGCGTGTGTTCGGCGAGATCTTTAGCAGAAAGATTAGTGAGAGCAGCGCCAACAGCAATGAAACTGAAAAGAAAATAAGGAACAATTTTGATGTAGAAGTCTCGTTCATTGAATCATCGTCGTTAGATGGCTGCTTTGCGTTTGAACCCATTACTAAAAACTGCAAGATGGCAAAGTTGTTATTATTTAAGAATTTTTTTTTTTTTTATGCCGGAATGAGACTGACTAAACAAATGCCTATGATAGACTGACAAAATTTACTCAATGCTGCCACAGCAAATCGACAGTTTGAAATATTTTGAGTGCTGCCACTAAGCTGAAAAGTGCTGCCACTCACCTAAACAAAGCAAGCCCAAACTGGTCAACACTTCGCGTGGTCCTGGACCATGTTTGGTTGGCTTTACAGTCGTCTGCAGCATCGAATTTGGATTGAGGCCCAAATTGTTGCAGTGGCTATAATTATGCATATTGCTGTTGTTGTTGAGGAAGGAATGCTGGGGCAGGTGTAGTGGTTGCGGTTGTTGTTGCTGCTGCTGCTGCTGCTGTTGATGCGTGCTGCTGCTGCTGCTGGCCAACATGTGCTGATTCGTGTAGGTGTGATGATGCAGACTGTTGCCATTGCAATGGCCGTTGGGCGTGAGCGGCGTCAGCGGTTTCATAGGCGCCTGCGTGGCAATATTGAGCAACGTCGACGCATTTCCAACACTTCGGACGCCGCCGTTCAGCATAGAGTTAGATGCATTCAGCGCGGATATGTTCAGCGGCTGTGGCGGCCGCAGGTGTATGTTGCGTGCCGTGCTAGCCACGGCAGCTGCCACCGGTGTCGGGGAAGCACCAGCAGTTGCTGCCGCCGACGCTGCCGCTGCCGCCGCTGCTGCGGCTGCTGCTGCTGCTGCTACGTTTGGCACGGGGCTCGTGGCAATGGTGGTGGTTGCTGTTGCCGCGGCCACCGCCGCTGAGGGTGGATTACCGCCGCCGTTGTTGTTGCTGTTGTTGTTGCCATTGCAATTGCTGTTGTTGGCATTGCTGTTGCCATTGCCGTTACCGTTGCCATTGCCATTGCCGTTGCTGTTGTTGTTGTTGTTGTTGGCAGTACGCAGCAGCTGTCCGCTGACAGGCGCCGCGGCTGTGGCGCTGCTCGCATTTGAGGCGTGCTTCAGCATTTCCTGTCCAGCTAGCTGAGAGCCTTCTGTCTCTCTCTCCCCCTCCTGCTTTGCGCCTGCTTCTTCTGCCTCCGCTTCGACTATGATGCTTTGCTGCCAGTGGCACCTGCTGCTGCTGCTACTGCTGCTGCTGCTGGCTGGCTAAGTCTGCTCCGCAACGCAATGTTCCATGGATGGTTCACATAATGAATGCCGTGCGCTGGGAAGTCTATGCAACTGAAATTATATTTTTATTATAATAATAGTAATAACAGTAATGATAATGATAATAATGATGATTATGATGATGAGAACGCCAAAATCATAGTAAAAACTTGAACTGAACTTAAATCAGGAAGAGAATATTAATAAATTATTAATAAACATAATGATAACAATCATGATTGTGATGATAAAGTTAAGACAAGAAAACTAATATCATGGTGGAACTTTCAACATAAGGATATTATTAATTGTGCATATTAATAATGACAATGATAATAATAATGAACAACGATGAGTGCATACTAATTCATGACAATCACGACGACGGTACTATAAGCCCAAAATAATGATAATGACTTATAATAATGACTTTAAATACAATAATAATAACGACAATTCCGAGAGTGATAAAAATAATCATAATGATAATTATGAAGAACAACATAATAATATTTTTCATTTGACACAAATGCTCTGTGGTCTGGCTATGGCTTTTCATTTTCATTGAGAATATATTCAGAAGAACTCCAGAGTTCTTCTTCTTCTGTTGCGAAAGGTGCCGAGAGTAAAAGATCGACCTAGCAGAAACTGTCAGAGAAGTCAAAGTAGAGACTATAATAGATTAAAACTACGCCGAAAATGTTGTGTTTTGTGAAGGAAATAGTGAAGTCTGGAAGCAGGACTCGCATTGGAAGATATTCATTGGGACTATATATATGGAGGCCGTGTGTCAGCTGGAATTACCATAGTCATAGTATAGAATAAGCTTAATAGAAGAAACAGTCCTTTCTCTCTCTCTGTCTCTCTTTTACTCATCCCTCTCTATTCTCTGTCTCTCTGCAGATCTCAACTTCTTGAAGCAAAACAACATCAGGTACATGCTACATATATGTACATATATCGTGCCGAAAACAACTTTCCCAAAACTCTTAGCCGCTGCCCAAGATTTACCTCTCTAGCTGAATCTCTGGAGTCTGGAGTCTCGAGTCTTGATTCTGGCCCCATAAAGTGTACGATCGGCATTTCGTTGGCCCCTTCTTCACTGCTCAGCTCATCTCCTCTCTTATCTTCTTCTGGCTCTTCTGTCTGTTCTGTTCTCTTGTCTGCTCTTCAATTTCCCCCACTCATTTAGGTCTGCACCGTTTTAATGGCTTTCTTCAGCGCTGTTTATCATGCCACGGCCAAAGCTGAGCCACTCAGATACAGCTTGGATACACCCAGCTAGTCAGATACTTAGATACAGATACGAATGCCAGAAGCAGAAGCAGAAACATTCGCACGCTCAGTTTGCGCCAGAGAAATGAGAATTAAGTGGCTAGAGACACGTAGAGTCAAGTTCCTTAACCGCTCCATTTACATATTGTCTTTCGGATAGAACCAAACTCTGATAAAATCACGTTTCTTTTGACAGCCCCAAAATTTCTTGATCAAAATCCTTGGCATAATTAAGTAGAAACCACAATTCGTATTAATTAAGCACATTTTTTTTTTTTGCTGATTCTCTTTTTACGCTCTCGCAAAGGGCATTTACCATAAATCAATTGCTTTGTCTATCTGGCGAGTTCTTAGGGCCAGAGAGAGAGAGGTAGAAAATAAAAGTGAATATACATAGCTCTGTCAATAGGATAGCGTGTACCGTATGGTCTCTTCCTTTCAATATTTTATAGGTATGTACATATGTATGTAGGTGAAGGCCTATAGTATTCTAGGTACATCATTTATTGGTATAATCAATTACTGCAAGTTTCAGTTTTGAGTTGAATTCTTTTCTCTAAGGATTCGAGGCCTACTATCTAAGGTCTTCGCAATTACTTCTTTGAATATCGTATTTAGAATCGTTGGATTAAAATCCTACATTGTGCATCTTGTTTACATTAGTAAGTTTCCTAATTTGCTTCTACACGAGCCGAATGCTGTATTGAATATCGTATATTGAATGGGATATATTGAATATCGTGTACCGACAATATTAAAATATATATATTATAAACATATAATATATCCACCCCCAGCTTAGTTATTTAATCAGGTAGGCCAAAAAACGTTCGTAAATTCAGCATATAGTACATTAAATCGTTTATTAAATATCGTATATCTCTCAGCTTCGATTTAGCAAATTTGTATCCTATAATCCACTATAGCTTGCACATCATCTATGTGTGGAATATCGTATATCTACAGCAGATAGAGTATTCCAGCTTCGACCAAGTACTTTCGGCTGTATTTCATTTAGTTTTTTTTTACATTGACTTCGCAGATGGTTTGAGGCGAAATTTTGATTACCTTGCAATTTGGCACATGCACAAAACACCGAAAAAAAAAAAAACAAATAAATAATATGTACATATGTACATGTGTATATATTTGTGTGTATATGTATGGTAAACACTGTAATGCATTTTGGCGAGTTGTTAAACAAGTTTACCTTTTATTTATGTTTTTCTGTTTTCTTAAGCTTTTTGTTTTTTTTTTTTTTGTGTTCTTTGATTTTGTTGTTTCTTTAATTTCCGTTGCGCGGCTGTGACATTTGCATAGCCATGGCTAAATAATATTTTGAGTAACCCGAAATTAATTGAAAAATTGGCTGGCTGGCTACGTGTGTGTGTATCGATGAACGGGACGGGTCTAGGCCTGGCTGTGCCTCACCAGCGGCATTTTTCTGAGAGAGTGAGCGCGAGAGAACGTGGAGCGAAAACGCGACGCGGCGAGCTTGAGGCACAAGCAGCAACTGGACGAGCACGAGCAAAACAAAACGGAGTCAAGCGAAGAGACAGGCTGCCCAACATATATGCATATGTATGGGTGCGTGCATGTGCATGCTATGGCTATACGTGTGTGTGTGTGTGTGTGAATAGAGCGGGCGACAAGTGAACGATGAGCGATCAAGTGACAAACAACGACTATCAACGACTATTCCCGAACACGAAGCCGAACCGCAGTCGGCATCAGCCGTTGGTTCTAGCCGCAGGGGCTACTGCTGCTGCCGTTGCCGCTGCCACTGCTGCTGTTGATGTTGATGTTGCTGCTTCCACTATTCGCATAACCAGTTAACAAGGCAACACACATACAAGCATACACACGGCCGCGAGTTTGTGTGCGTAGGGAAGAGATAGAGCGAGCCAACGAGTCAGCGAGCGCGCTGGACACAAGGCTGACGCTAAAATAACAAACAACACCGCGGCACAGTGGTAGCAATGTATTAGCCAGAATAATGAGAATGTTTACTTAAAGCTGGTAATTCATTCAAATTCAAACATAGTATTAATTAACATTAAGATTTAATTGTCCTTGTGGAACAGCAAATGATATATTTTGTATCATCCCGAATATATAAATGTGAATCCACTGTGCAGCAAGCAAATAACCTGAACCTGATCGGCGCTCTGTCTATGTTGCACATCTGCATTTGCATCTGTGTGTGTGCGTATAGGGTATAGGCAAATCGAGCGCGTGTTGGTGTGCCACCGACCACAGCAAAAACAACAGCAACAGCTTCAACTTGCTAAGCCACATTCCTCGAGTTCCGACTGGATCTGGATGGGACTCAGGGCGTGCACTCTTTTGCATTACCGGGAGCTTGGCGTCTGCTTGCTGCTCGTAACTTGCCACATAACAACATTCTGTGTCTACTTCAACGTGCATACCAAACATTCATATCACATGTATAGTTCATACATACACATTCCTATTTATGCCTATAAAATTTGTGCAACTGAAACTACATATTCTACTATACTTAAAGTATCAATTTATATGCTATAAAAATGTTGATTAACATTAAATCATTTGCAAATGGACGTAAATAATTTATAGGCTTTCATATTCATAATTGTAACGCTTTTTTAACAGTCAGTCAAAACCGTCAGCAGTCGTTGCCAGAAATTTTGAAGAAGATGATATTTTTATTATATGGTCACACTCAGTGTCACTGTCAATAATATCAATTTGTTGGGCAGCACTGTTGCTTATCGGCCGGCCGCCATTATTTATTTTGTCGGTCGCTGTCTATCGCCTTACCTCACGCATTGTAATATTATTGACGAAGGCCATCGTCATTCCGTTGATAATCTGAAAGTCGTGTTTTATAGTGGTTTTTAACGCGATTCCATACACTGCCAAAACAGACATGACTGCGCCGGGCAAGCTATCCGTTGCTGTCGTCTGTTCATCGAATATGAATCGTTCCATGGAAGCGCACAATTTCTTAGCCAAAAAGGGCTTCAACGTGCGCTCCTACGGCACCGGTGAACGGGTTAAGCTGCCCGGCATCGCGTTTGATAAACCCAATGTTTATGAATTTGGTACCAGCTACGAGGAAATATATCGCGATCTAGAGGCCAAGGACAAGGAATTGTAAGTAGCCCGAATTTGTACCTATGAATCATTCATAATCAATTTTCAATTGGTCAACTTTCAACTGGTCGATTTTGCTATTGCAGTTACACGCAGAATGGTCTGCTGCATATGCTCGACCGCAATCGTCGCATCAAAAAGTGCCCCGAACGCTTTCAAGAAACCAAAGAACAATTTGATATTATAATTACGGTGGAGGAGCGTGTTTACGATTTGGTTGTGATGCACATGGAATCGATGGAGTCGGTTGATAATCGTCCCGTTCATGTGCTAAATGTCGATGTCGTTGACAATGCGGAGGATGCGTTGATGGGTGCCTTTTTAATAACGGACATGCTTAATTTGGTAATTTGATTTTTAGGCGTGTTTTATTTATTTATTATCATTTGCATTTCGAGTGTTGGCTAATTTGCTGAATTTGCAGTTGGCGAAATCGAACGATATCGATAATGATATCGATGAAATGATACAAGAATTTGAGGAGCGCAGAAATCGTGTGATTCTCCATTCTGTGCTTTTTTACTGACAGCCGAAGACGTTTGGTAACGGTACTTGTCCAAACAATCACCCGCGCTCCACACTCGATCAGCGCAATCGATGCGCTTATCGATACGTTAAGAATTGTAAATATGATGAGCGGATCGAACAGAAATGTCCACACTACATGCCTACAAACAACTAGGACAAACGACAAACACACTCACAACAAGAATGTCGAATTTCAAAAAAAAAAAAAAAACCAAAAACAAAAAAAATAAATCGAAACATACACACACA